CCTCGTCTCTTCGAACAAGCGCTCCCCGATGTGGGTGCGTGTTATACGTGTTTCGAACGCGTGGCCAAGCAGCGTTCGAAGAATAATCTCTAAAATGAAACGAGAGGAATCTTGAAATCCTCTTACAATCCTCCTTTTTCCAAGCTCGAAATCAACTACTCGAGACGATTTCACGCAAGAATCAACGCGTGAAACTTTTTTATATTCTGATATTTTTGCCGAATATTAAAATTTGTATCGTTGTTTCGCGAGATATTTTAATAACAACGTGATTACCAAGATGCATCCTCGGTTTCCCAATTATCTTTCGTTCGTTCTACATTCTTCTTACACTACATCTCTATTTTTATCGTTATTTTTCTGTCATCAATTTCTTAAGAAATAGAAATAATTTCGTTATTCGATAACGAAAAATCAAATCCATCGAACTAATTTCATTCCACGTATTCCACGCTTACAAAACTCGAAAACTTTGAAATAAATAATATTTCTATTTCCATCAACCGTCTAACTCGAATCAACGCCGAAAACGGTCTAATTTGATATAAAAAAATCTAACTATTCTATAGTATATTATTCCACACTTTATAAAATATGTATTTAAAAATAAAATATATTATTAAAAAATATAAAATATATTATTTTAAAAAAATCAAACGAATTGCCTTATCGATCTAATAAAATTAGTTCGAGCGAGGATGAGTTTGATTTTTCCTCATCGAATAACGAAATTATTTCTATTCGTTGAGAAATTGATGCCTGAGAGTGCAAAGGGTTAATTGTTATATAAAATTCAGGGATAAATTTTTCGATCTCTCTCGGATATTTCCAGAATTGAAAGCATGTATCCAATCGGAGTTGGAAAAATTAAGTTTTGAAATTGGCCGCCAACAACTTTGATCTCCACATTTGGTCACTCGGAAGTTTATCGAGGCTGTCATCGCCTACTTCCTCGCCTCAAATCGTTCCAAACCGTTTCAACGTGTCTTCCATGGAAGGGAGGGCGAGCCCTCAATTTTCCAACTTTTCCTTGAAAAGTTGGAAGATCTCGGAAAATCTTGCGGAACTTCTTAAGCCGATATAAAATCTTAAGTCCATGAATTACGCAAGCTCCTCGGTTCGTTCGCCGACCGAAGGATCCGAAGATATTCTTCTTGGATCGAAGAGTGGAAAACGCTCTCTTTCTCTCTCTTCGAAACTTCGAAAATGCTAGAATCGATTTTGTATCGAATCGAGGTTGCATACGGCGATTAAATTACACCGAGTGTAGTCGAAACGATAAGGAAAAGCCTTTTCGAAAAGGCTTGTTTTTCTTTTTCTTTTTTTCTTTCTAAATAAAGCGAGATACAAAGGAAACAATTAACGCTCACACGATGGCTCGCGCCCCCTGTCCATCAACGTCCAAAGTATCAGCTGATAACCGAGTGATTAATGCGAACGCCGCCCTAATGGATGACGCATTTGGAAGAGTGAGAGTGGAAAAGAATAAAAAGGAACGCGGATAAAATCTTTCCTCGTTCACACGCGGGAACGTAATTTTCGAAAATGCAAAAGCAATTTGTGTAATTGCTATGAAAAACTTTCTTACCTTCGAATTATATTCCAAAAAAAACGTATTAAAAATTCTATATTCGTTGGACCGATATCTTCTGAACAGGCTTAGCTTCCGATTCGAAACTGTTCCAATTTCAAAAGA